ATGTTAACTCCACCCCTTTTAACCTTTCAAAAAAGATTCACTAATCTAAAGAAAAACAAAAAAGGAATTCCTCTTTTTTTAGCGTTGAAACAGCACTGCTACACGGCCAAATAACGAGAGAACATAGCAAACATTTGCGATATGTTTAGATGGTGACTTCAAAAGTTGATTGGACTAGTAGATTTTTCAGGCGTTCGGTTTTAGATGCCTAGCAGGTTTTTGCCGGTTAGGCCTCAACCCAAATAGACACTTATTTCTTTGTTCCGCTTTTTTTCTTTAAAAAACAAGTCATGCTTGCTTCATCTGCTCATTCGCTTACCAGCTCAACCGACTTACTTGGCAATCCTTTCAAAATTTGAGACCAAGATGAGTTTTTTCCGTTCTACGTGTTTCTCTTTCTTTTTCTCTCTCTCACTTTCTCATTGTGCCAAGCAAGCACTCGTCTTCCTTTGAGCTCCACTTGTGTAGGGCGCGTGGATTCATGTATGGCCATTGCAAACCATGATGACATCATAGACTTCCTCATTGCTCCCCTTCTTGCCAAGCTTTCTTTATATCACCGCCTATCTCCCACTGTTGTCGTTGTGGCATCTTTTTGGAGAATGTGCTAATCCTGTTTTTCAACAAGAAGGAGAAATAATTTTTACAACGACCAAAGAAAAATAACATAAGAGAAAGCTACATCTACTAAGAGTGACCCACAAGCTAGAGAAACAAGCCTATAACCAGAAACCTCCTCTCTCACTTGACAAAGAACTAAGTGCACTACGGGATACACGAGCTTTGCCGAGTCACTCGGCAAAGTGTTTGCCGAGTGTTACACTTGCCAAACAACACTCGACAAATTTTTATCGGCAAAGAGTTGTTTGCCGAGTGTTAAACGTCGGGCACTCGGCAAAGACTATGCCGAGTCAAAAAAAACACTCGACAAACATTTCCCGAGAAAAAAAAACAAGTCCCGCCGCCGCCGCCGCCACCACCACCACCACGCCCCGCCGCCACCGCCGCCACCACCACCACCACCACCATGCCCCGCAGCAGTGCCGGATCCACGCCTTGGACCCACGCCGGCCGCTGCAACCCCATCGTCGCCGGCTGGCCGTCGTTGCGTCGAGCGGCTCCAAAGCACGCAACAGGCCAGGACGGCCGAAGCTCGCTGCCGCAGGGGAAGCGCCCGTGCCAGGGCAGGGCGCCACTCGCCTCCGTGTGAAGGGGCCGCGTCGGGGACACCACCGGATCCCACACCACACAGCTCTTCTTCTTCCTCTTGAATCACCGGCTGTCGGGGATGGGGCAGAGGCTCTGCGCGCCGCCGAGGATGGCCTGCTCGCCCGCCGGGGAAGGAGCTCATGCCGGCGACGATGGCTTGCGCGCTCACTAGAGAGGAGCTCGCGCCGGCGACCGGCCATGGAGCAGGGGACGAAGCGCCGTCGGAGGAAGCCACCGGAGAGGACCTCGCGCCGGCGACCGGCCATGGAGCCAGAGGAAGCCACCGGAGAGGAGCTCACACGGAGAGGGAGGGAGGGAGGCGCGGGGGGGGAGGGAGGGAGTGTGTGGGTGGGCGGATCTGGGAGGAGGGAGGAGTGGCACGGAGGGAGGAGGAGGGAGGGGGTGGGCATGGGGCGGATTTGGGAGGAGGGAGGGGAGCGGCGCGGGCGGGCGGTTCTGGGAGGAGGGAGGGGAGCTGAGGGGAGGGGCGACGGCGGTAATTAAACGGTTTTTTTACTTTGCCGAGTGTCCTGGATCTAGGCACTCGGCAAAGTTTTTTTTTTCTTTTTTTTCCTTTCACAGAAAAACGATTTTTTTCTTTGCTGAGTGTCCTAGATATGGGCATTCAACAAAGTTTTTTTTTTCATTTTTTTCTTCTCTTTCTTTCCCAAAAAAATAGATTTTTTTCCTTTGCCGACTATCCTAGATCTAGACACCCGGCAAAGTTTTTTTTTTATTTTTTTTCTTCTCTTTCTTTCCTAGAAAAAAAGATTTTTTTCCTTTGCCGAGTGTTCTAGATCTGGGCACTCGACAAAGTTTTTTTTATTATATTTTTTTCTTCTCCTTCTTTCCCAGAAAAAGATTTTATTTCTTTGCTGAGTGTCAAAAAAAAACACTCGGCAAACAGGGAGTTTGCCGAGTGTTTTTTTTTACACTCGGCAAACCTCCTATTTACCGAGTGTTTTTTTTTGCCGAGTGTTTTTAGCGCAGCACTCGGCAAAAAACTTGTTTGCCGAGTGCCCGAGAGAATACACTCGGCAAACATAAAAACACTCGGCAAATTTAACGTTTCCGGTAGCGGTGCTCAAACAAACTACAATGAGAAACGTTAAAGGATGAACCATAAGCCATGGGTGAGAGGTCGGTGATCAGGCAAAGAGCACCCACAACAACCACCACACGAAAAACAACGATGAGAGAATACCTGCCTCTAGACAATGCGTGAACACCAAGCAACAACAATGAAAGGTCCTACGTTTTCACGAGCTGATGACTAGGAAAAAGTTAAAGGACCACTATGGGTCAGCAGCAACCACAACACCACAAGAACAAGCAGAGTCTCTATGATGAGAGAGTAGCCGCCACAACTCCACAAGTAACGACCAAGCAACAGTACCCAGCAAGAGGAGCCTAGGCCAGGCAGCGGCCTTAGTCCCTATACAACAACCAAGCAACCAACAGAGAGGTCTTAAAAAATAGTAGTGATGGAGCTCCACAAACGATGACCAATGAACAAGATCGAATAACAACCTAACAAACAAAGAGAAAGTCGTGGTGGATTCCCAATCTTCCAGTAGTGATATCATGGATGAATCCTCAAGACAACACCTCCCAAAAGGGTAATCGCGTGGCTGCCATGTGATTAGGGGAGGGCGGGGTCGAGGGGACGACAGCGGGAGGTGGGTGGCGGGAGCCGCTGGCCGCGAGTGAAGGAAGCGCGAGGGGGCGGAAGAGGGGTGCGTGAGGGAGCGTGCGCGAGCAGGGGCGGAGGTAGGGGTAGGGGCGGCACCGACAAAGAGGAAGAAGGGTCGTGTGGTTCCCAAACGTGCAACTCGTCGCCGGATATCTTCGTCCCTCGTCGCCGGATATCTTCGTCCCTCTCAAAAGTAGTAGCTTGATTGGCTCTCTTGAATCTTCTTGCAGTCTAGCGACATGACAAGCGAACGAGCAAGAGTGTTCCATTGTTCCTTTATTGTTACATGGTACTGAAACTGAAGCTAAAGTAAAATGGCACACTATTCTGAGTATACTTACTCTTATCCATAAGAGACTGAGAACTGGTCAGCTAGATCAGCTCCTCCTCTCTCCTGCAATCCTATCCTACACACAAAGATCCTTATTAAACCACTACTACAAAGCAAGCAAACAAACACACCATGGTACTGAACACAAAGATCCTTCTTCAGTTCTTCCCCATGCTAACAGGAGTAACAGCAGCCTGGAGGCTGGTCCAGTCGATCCTACCCACTGTAGGCGCTGTCCTCTGCCTCTGTTCTTCTTGGTTCTTCGTTTTTCTGATTAATCACAGCACAGCAAAAGCATTATGCGGTCAGTTATTGCATCCTCTACTGTACGTTCACAGGATGCAAGACAGATCAAATCTTGAACGTGACTTACTTCTCCATGTCCTGGCGGGTCAGCCTCGGGCCTTCGTCTAGGCCTTCACACACCAATTCACCGTTCTCATCGGTGTAGCAGAGGATTCCCGTGTTCTTGTCCTCATAAACCTGAAAGATAAAGTTCCTGTTAGGCCCGGGGCGGCGATGAACGACGCCGGCGAACTCTCAGTCTCGCCGGAGAAGATGAACTGCACACCCACACACGCGAACACTGAACAAACGACACGAGAATTTGGTGCTGCCAAAAGCCGCAGCGTTTTCTGATCTTGAGTTCTCCTTTGAGAGCGGAGTTCTTGGAGGCTGACTGCACGTAGCCTGGTAGCGCGTCCATCCCCACGTGTGCGACGTCGTCCACTCCCGATCACTCGAGTCATGGTGAGCTATTCTCGGCCACTTCCCCTAAGTGCACGTCAACCACAGGATTCGGTGCTCGTGCGCATGCATAACCGAAATCAAAAGCATGCAAGTCTATCTATTTACAGTGCAAAGCTTAACTAACAGTTCCAGATCAGCAAAGAAGAGAGATGTTTCAGATGGAGCTAGGCCACGTCTTGTAACGAAAAATTGGTATATACCTTGTTGACCTTGCCGGTGAAGCTGACAGAGTTGGATTTTTTCTTGGACTCAGAACTTGAGCAGTCATCCATGGAGATGGAGGCTCTTATCATCGTCGTCCTCGAGGTTTTCCTCCTCGGAACGATGGTTACACTAGATGAGTAGCAGTAGCACCTCAAGGACATGGCAGCCATGGATGATGGGGTAGGAGAAGCCTTGCAGGAACCATACAGGTAATCATAATCATGGGGCTGATGTCATGGAAATGGCCATTAGTGGTGAGGGTGGTGGAGGATGTTGTACTAAATAAACATGGATTTTAGGTCAATGAAAGGCGTGGCAACGATTGTAATTGGGCTGCATAGATTATTTTAAGTGCAGTTGTCAGCTGCGACATTGACAGAATCAGTGGCAACTGGACAATTCCGTGTCTAACTCTCGTAGCATTATTATTGGGTAAAAAATTTTTGGTTTGTTTTTGTTTAGGTCTGAGACAATGACTTCCAACTTGCTTCCACCAACTCTCTCGACCTCGGGATTACAGTACACTGAAACAAAAGTCGATGTGTTCTAGGTGAAAATCTGTAACAATAGGATTTTATCATTATATTATATGAGAATGATGAGCTGCGGCCTGCGGGAAACGACGTGTAATTTTTTTATGTTGGTTCTATTTTGTAAAAAAAGATTAAAATTAATTGTGTTGGACTAAAATGGCTGTAACAGACACAACAAAAATGAAAAAACTCAAACAGTTTCATACAGGAATCATGCACTTACAAAAGTACAGTATTAAGTTGTGCAACAATACAAATAGAAAAAAAAAGTTGGAGACTGTTAGTCGCGAAATTCTTCCATGAACACTTCATGAAACGCCATAAAACGGGAGATGATTAGTGGTAACTTCTCTTCCTGTGGCAGGACTGTGCATCTGAAATGCCATGTGCCATGTATCTTCAGAACATAACAGAGAAACACCATATTAGAATACCAAAAGAAATGTGGGAAATTTTGTTTTATAATTTATACTGCAATAAAATAACTCAGTTCACTGTGCCTTCAACATGATCGCAAAGCACTCACTTGTCCAAAAACAGAACCAGGCACAACAACAATCCCTGTGGTTTCAAGAAGGCGGAGAGCATAGAAGGCATCTGGCTGCGTGTTACTTTCCTCAGCAGCTGCAATTGCCTTCTTTGGAAGACGAACTGAAGGGAATACAAACATTGCTCCTTCAGCCTTGCTACAAGTTACCCCTTCCAGCCGGTTAAATGTGCATACCATGGCCTAAAACAACAGTGGAAGAATACAGTACCTCTGATTTCAATGTTGCATCTTTTGTTGCTGTGCAATAGTAAAATCAGAGATGACACGACTGAATCAAAAATATACTAAAACAACCTCTGCACAGCGAGCAAAAGATGACAGGATGCTATCTCTTTCTGCCTGATAAGCGGTGTATGACTCATCTCCAACCTGAAAAAAAAGGTGACTTATCATCGTTGGTAAAGCTGGCAAATCAATAGCAAGGAGATACGTTTCATTTTCTGACCCGTGGTGGGTTCATGACTAGGCTCATGAGGATCTGGCCAGAGATGTTGGAGCATGAGCTTAGGGATGCAACTTTGTACACTTGTTTCTTTACTTCAGAATTAAAGCCAGTGACTTCCATGTAGCCTCCCCTTCTCCCACATTCACCATAATATCCTGACCACGAAGAATAAGTTGTTTCAAGTTGATGAAAAACCTTTAGTGTATGATATGCCATCACCATCCAGGAGTCTAGACTACTACACGCAAACAATTTATACAAGAAACAATTATTCATCAAACCATGTTCCCATTTTTTGGATGGATAGGTTCTCATTTACATACATTGAAGTAATAGCTTAAATTACACCACTTATTTGTCATTAAGTTCAACTAACTGTATTCACGTAATAGTATGCATATTTATGTTATCAATCATCCTAAAGTTTTCGATGTTCAAGGCAAAAATTCCTAACAAATTTAAAAAACAAGAGATTTTAAATTTTATTTATGCTTCATCTTTTTAAAAAAATGATAGAATAAGTAGAATAATACTAGAATAGGGAGTAGGAAAGAAAGGAAGTAGTCAATATCAGTTACCATTAGAAACCGAATGGAAGGACACTAAAGATATGTCTCCTTCGCCGTACCCCATGGACCGTGCTATCTTCTTGAAAGAGTGAAATTTCTTTTCATCTGTGTAAATATTTTCTTGATAAACCTAGAAAACAAGGTTTCATCGGGATGCATTTGAAAATGACACAAAGATTCAATTAAGCTACGACTAGGAAGATACAACAAAACTTTACCTCATCTGCTAGAAGGACAAGGTCTTCATTCCTACAGAAATCCACAATTTCACGCTGATTTTCCTCCACAAGTACCTATGAAGAACATAATCACATTTGAACTATTATATAGAAATCAAAATCACGAGTCAGTGATCAGTAGATATACATGTCCAGTAGGGTTGCCTGGATTTATAACCACAAGTCCCCTCACAACGACACCCATTGATCGGGCACCATCCAGCTGCTTCTTCAGATCTGACATGCTCACTCCCCAGCCTCTGGATTCGTCAAGGTAATATGGCACCTGAGAAAGTAGATATGTTTTGCTCACAAAAAAATTGGTATGGCATAGTAATAAGTAACTGCTGTAGCTTTTTTTTTTCTATTTCTGGTAACTGCAGTACATACAAGAGTAGCGCCCTGGAGAACCATATAACTTGTGTACAAGGAATGTGATGGAATTGGGCAGAGGATACCATCTTTTTGATCCCGTATCAGTAGATGCATCATCATGTGTACCTGTTTGAAAAGAAGCAAACCATCTTCACTGCGAAGAAGAAAAGAAGCTCACCACAAGACTCGAGCACTTTTAGGCTTAGTTCAAGTCCTTATATCCTGCACGTGTGGTCTTCATTGTGAATAATCTCATCACATGATCCACTTCTACTGGGTGCTTTACTTTAAATAAAGAAACTACTATTTATCGCTCATCTATTAGTGCCAAAGATGAAGCTGAAAGGGAGGGGGGGGGAGATGAGTATAACATAACAAAAGGACAGCTTTATGTTTTCTTTTTTGTTATTGAAACAAATCATTAATTTTCCCTGTATGGCGGTATATTTATCTTTTCTCAACAGAATAGAGTATCTAGGCTTTGAGGTTTCTGACAGTAATTATTTTATTTTTTCACAACCACAAGCATTGTAAGTAACTAAATGCAAATATTATATCATGATGTCCAACAACTAGCAGAAGAAAAAGGCTTCTCCAATTATCATTCAAAGTGCCTGGACTCTGCATGATGAAATGAAAAGGTACCGGTGGAGCTGCTCCATCTGTCAGGAAAATGTCCTCTGCGTTACATGGGAAATTATCTCGAGAGGCTATTCCAGCAGCGATTATATCGCGCAGTCCTTCAATACCCTATGAGTCAAAATATTTCAGTTTAGCAAAATACAATTACCCCAAAGTAACTGTTTTCTTACTTGGTCCAGGTGGATAGCCAGAAAAGGTAGTTATTTTGGGACAGAGGTAGCATAATTCTGCATTATAGAAATGAAAACACAGGAGGGCGTTTCTGCATGTCTGAAGACGGTGTAGAATCATGCCTGACAGTGACTATATCCTCCTGTTGCTCTCCCAGGAAAGAGGTCTAGAATCTCCCGTGCCCTTGCTATTGCATCAGAGCTGCAACATCAGGGATTAGCAAGGAATCCCATACAACTTCTGGTGCACCATATACTTATTAGTTGTGTTCATGTTTTACCTGAACAAGGAATTAGTTTCACTCTGTTCTAGAAGATGGGGATAGTTGCACAAGGCAAGAACCTGGAAAAGAAAAAAAAAAGAAAATGTTTATAAGAGGGTGTGATGAAGAGATGAGAAATACTGTATATATATAATATAAGTAGTACAATTATGGCGAACAATAATCAGGCACCTCTCGAAAAAACTTGTTTGGCTGCTGTCCCATGGATTGTGGATTGCTGAGGCTGCAATAGATTATCTAGCAGAAGACATGGAAAAGTTCAGTCTTGAGAAAAAATGGTGAGGTTAGAAGGCAGTAGATGTGAATGAAATCCCAAATGTAGGGACAAATGAGATTATTCTCATCAGTCATCATAAATAACATACCTCGTCGAAAGGGTGTGACCCCGGTTTTGTTTCTATCTCATTTTGGATACACTGTAAATCAAGAAAGAGGACTGTATCAGGTAATTTGTGTGGTCATGGTCACACCCACATGGTTTTAATTTAGGTGAGGCAAAATGCAAGGCTGGTGATCTTTTACAGCGAGAGACCATGACATGGTGACGATGGAATCTACAGTGACATGCATACCTGGATCGATAGGTAGTAGGAGAAGAAAACGAAACGAAACCCGGGCCGGACTACACCTGCACAGGCCCGGCCCTGAAGGGAAGCAAGAGGGGCGGCCGCTCTAGGCCCCTAAAGCCTACCGAAGACTAAACTAGGCCACACGTTGCACAGAGACAGAATTCATGCAAATTAGAATATGATCAGTTCACACAGAATTGATGGCATGAGTAGCGACACCGCTACAATTTTTCTAAATTAATTTCTGAATACAAAATCCGTCTATCCATCAGGTTACAGTATTATTATTAGTATGTGATGTGAAGACTGATCGTGTAAATGTCGAACTAGTAGTTACTAGTATTATTATTATTCAAGTTGGCTATAGCGTCGACTGAAAGAACCTTTTTAAAATTAAAATTGTTAAAAATCGTTGGAGATCTACAATATTTCTCTGTTTTAAGAGAGGTTAAATAGTTTGGGGAAGGAATTTTTAGATGAGATCAATATTGATGTCATCGTCAGCGACTTTGCAACAAACGTTAGAAGGTAATTTTAAGACAATTTAATGTGTACCGTTTTATGTTTTTAGTATTTTGATATCATAGGGCCCTGAGTGTTTAGTCTGGCTCCAGGTCACGAAATCCTCAGGACCGGCACTGCACCTGCATCTCTGGATCAATGACGTACCTGCGCGCGGCGGGCAATGGCGTCGTCGCCGAGGTGATCCGCGAGCGCCAACACCTGCATAACATTAAGGGGGACAGGGACTCGAACGTGGTCATCAGACCGGCCGGCATTATATTTGGGGGCCAAAATAGAGATGGCAGGCAGGCAGCAACCGACCTTTGGGTTTAGGGAGTCGACGGTGAGACCGCAACGAGGCATCCTGGCTTCTTTGGTGCTTTCTACGCCGCCGCCGCTGCCGCAGTCGAAGTCGAAGTAGTGGTACGGGTTTTGGGGGTGGCCGAGTTGAGCCGGCGAGGTTTGGCAACAAGAGGATAGACAATGCAGAGGTAATGCCACTTGCCACTCGACAGACGACACGAGGACGGCGCAGTCAGTTTAGTTGAGCACTTTAGCTCAGCCAGCCAGTGCGGTTGGTGGGAAGCGTACAAATAATTGGCGCTCGTGCAAATGCAGCAACCTTTGCATCGGCACAAGCCACAAGGACAGTGTGGCCCTCACCATGTTTACCACCATTGTCGTTGTGGATTCCTATTCTTCTGGCCTGACTGAGCACAATGGAGATGGAGCACCGCATTCTCTTCGAGGAGGAATTTGGATCTATCTATCTCCCCAGAACCTGAATCCAAGGCAACGGTGCCCGTTTAAAGCGTAGGAAGAATTACTACTCACCAAACTGTGCCACAATTCCTCTCGCATTACAAACAGTCTCTAATTATACCCACAAAAGGGACACTGAAAATTTAGCACTATTATAGTATCGGCTTCAGCAACACGCAGACCCGAACAGTATTTTGTTTAGCTCTTGCAATCCTGCCAGTATCCTCGATACATGGAAACAATATTTTCCACTGCACTAAGAAAAATCCAGCATCTCGCACAACGGTAAACAACGGAAACTCGATCAAATTTTCCTCAATTGCCATCAAAGGCGCCAACAGAGTACAATGTTCCTCCATTCAGAGATCAGCTCACGCACACACAGATGATGTTGCCTGCTTTATTTTGTTTCGGTCTACAGGATGGTGCTTCTAGGGGGGCTAGAGGGAGGGCTCTTCTATTTTTTTTTTTCAAGTACTGCAATAGCTTTACCGTAAATTTTTTTAGACCAATGAAAGAGAAAATAGAGACAAATTGATAATTACAAAGCCACCCATCGACTCAACTATGAGGAAAGCAACTAAAACAAAACAACAACTGAAACAGAGAGAAGAGACTGAACTGATAAAAAGCGAAAACGTTGAAGGTCCGACTAGGTGACCAAGAAACCGTAAAAAAAATCCTCACACTGATAGTAAGGAACACTAAAGGTGGTTCAAGGTGGGGCGATGGTTTGCTACGTTGCCATATTGAACTGTTGAATATCATCTTTAATTAGCTGTGTGACTTATAGGGGTTGTAGCTCTTGTTGTTGGAAAGTTCTTCGATTTCGCTCCTTCGAGATATTCCACCACACATAGATTAGGATTCGGTCAAAAGAGCCCTTATGTGCCTTATCAAATTTCTCTCTGCATTTTTTTCTAGTATTTGTAAATAGAGACTTTTTGGGAGATGTTTTGCAGCTATGATAAGCTGAACCAATTTCTGACTATGGACCACACCTCTTTGATAAAGATATAGTCTTTGCACAGATGCGACAGTGTTTCCGGATTAAACTTGCATAGTTTGCAAATTGGGTCATGTAGCCAGTTTCGCTTGCTTAGGTTATTTGGTGTAAGAATCTCAGGGTGGAGAAGTGTTTCAGCTCTAGCCTTCCAAATTGGGAAGATTTTGATCTTGGCAAAGCTTTCGTCAAATTGTATTTGATAAGCACTTTTAGTGGTATATTCACCGCTAGATGTCCATTTCCAATAGATTTCGTCCTCTCTATCAGGGTGTCGTGCAGTCCCCTGTAGCACCTCCTAGAGATTGATGAATTCCCTAATCCCAACATGAGTATGTAGTAGGGTGACATGATCCACTCATTTGTTTTGATCCAGAGCTTTGTCAACTATGTTTTTTTTTCTTTTGGATTTCGCGAACAGCGTCAGTGCAATACACTTTGCCGAGGTATTGTCGATCCAGCTATAGAGGTCCAAAAAAGAGTTGTTTTACCATTACCAACCAAAATGCATTAAATAAATTCAGATCCACTTTATCGCTTGGTACCTCCATCTTAGCCCAAGCTCTTTCTATGTGCTTCCATTTGAACCAAAGCAAGCGGAGGCATAATGCTCGAGCAAAATTGTGTCGAATGCGATCAATTCTTTTTAGCAACCACTTTTGTACTGGGAAGACTTAGGTGGCAAATTGGTTGTGAGGATAGCACTGTTTTTTCTAAGGTTTCTCGTCTAGGGAGCGATAGCATTTTCCCCTTCCAATCCAGAAGATGGTTTCCAATTTTGTTAATCAGTGGTTGCACATCCACCTTGCGAAGTTTTCTTGTACGAAGAGGCAATCCCAGGTACTTTACAGGGAAGGAGCAAATTTTACCCGGGAAATTTTGGATCAGACTCTGAACAGTGTCGGTATTGAGACAAATTGTGTAAATTTCCGTTTTGGACATGTTGACTCTTAAGCCTGGGCAGTCTCCAAAGATGTGTATGATTTTCTGGAGGTGTTTAAGCTCCGAACTTGAGGCATCGGCAAAAATGGCTGCATCAACTGCATAAAGGGACCACCTCAAGTTTGCCGTTTTAGGCAGCACTAGCATTAGTTGTAACGGGTCAATGGCTAGAATGAATAGCATTGGAGATAAAGGATCGTCTTGTCTGAGGCCTCTTGCATGAGAAATGCTTCCTCCAGGCTGACCGTTTATAAGAATTCTGGAGGATGAAGTAGCAAGGATGGAGGAGATCAAGTCTCTCCATTTCTAGCTGAAGCCAAGGACTGTTAGGATATAGCTCTTAGAGCAAGGCTAACAATACGGCCGGCAGGCCAGCTATAAGGATCTTTATAGCCTTCTCTCAGTCTACTCATATAGTAGTTAGCTCTTCACTATTAATACATGACCCACTTGTCTCTCTCACAAAGTTTCTCGGTTCTTGTGTCTAAATCGGCTCTAAGATTATAGCCCGCTTCTCTTCTCTCTCCTCTCCTCTCTCCTCCACCTCAGCATTCAACCGACTTACAGCCTGTTATTATACTTGCTCTTGTACCTTCGAGCGTTTACATGCAACTAGAAAAACAACTATTCGTGTCTCCTAGTTTGATCCATGTGAGTCGTGAGCATTGATGGGCTTTAAGCTTTCGGATAGCTGCAATGCCCAATGATTTTAATTTAAGGTATTTTTTAAGTTAAACTCGTTTGCCTGTTAGATTTCTAATTTTCTGTGCCTTTTTTCAGGTCGGTAATGCTCTCTACCGAGCATCCGTCCAGCCCGACGGGACGGACTTGCCTGCCCCCGCGCCTAGTGCCTCGTGCGCCCCACCTGTGCCTCGTGCCTCATGCTGCTCTCGCCTCGTGTCGTCCGCGCCTCGCGCCGCACGCCGCTTACGTCTCGCGCCTCGCGCTGCGCTCTGCCACACCTCATGTCTCCCACTCGGACTCGCGCTACGCACAGCCAAGGTCCGACCTCCGCGCCATGGCATCAAGCTCCGCGTAAACGAGCGTCCATTGGTGGCAGCAAGTAGACGAGCACATGTTGCAACCGTATATCTCATGCGTTTCAGATGTATGTTGCAAAAATAGATCTGGTATTGCATATGTTGCAATGACTATACACGCATGTTGCAAGTGTATGTTTAAAATGTTTTAGCTGTTTCAAACGTATGTTGTAAGTGTTTTATCTGGATGTTGCATATGTTGCACTAGCTATACAAGTGTATGTTTCAAACGTTTTAACTGTTTTAAATGCATGTTGTAAGTGTGTTTATCTGGATGTTGCATATGTTGTAGTGTCCATACACCTATGTTGCAAGTGTATGTTGTAAATGTTTCATCTGTTTCGGACGTATGTTGCAGCAAATGCTTTATGTTGCAAGTGTTTCATGAGCAAGCACGGCAAGGGGACGCAAGCGAAGGTGGTCCCCTCGGTCGCATCGGTCCCGCGTGTGCACGAGAAGCAAAGTGGGCGCAGCAGCTGACGCGGAGCACAAAGTTGTATCCTTGGGCATGGTAGCAGGCGCGGAGCACGAAGCTGCATCCATGGGCGGACAGCAAGCACAGAGTATGAGGCGAAACGGAGCACGGAGCTACATCCATGGGCAGGCAGCAGGTATGAAGCAGGAAGCTACATCCAGGGTATTATTATTGAAAACGGTCGAGTAGGAGGCGCGGGCGTAGTCTCTCCGCTTTTACAGTTCTAGCAATTTTACATGAACCAGGATGGCGTCCTGAGTGTTGACTTCTGTTGCCATGCGATTGAACTGTCGAGAGGAAATCTGGTTATTGGGTTCACCATGATTTTCAATGCGGAAGCCGTGGTAGAAATCGAAAGAAGCGTCTCCTTGGAGAAATAGCGAGCAATGGTCAGAACCGAGAGAGAGGCAAGAGCTTGTAGATTTGCTTTGGGAAACAGCTCAAGCCAATCAGTGGAGGCAAACAAATGGTCTATCCTAGTCATAGTTGGTGATCGTTGATCATTACACCAGGTAAATTTCCTTCCATGGAGTGCTATCTCAGCTAGTTTGTTTTTTTTAAGAAAAAACTCTATCTCAGCTAGTTGAAGGTTATCTATTACGCGCTTGAAACGACTGATCATCGTTAAATTTAAGTGGTTATTATTTTTGTCTTCTGCTCCGCAAATGAGATTGAAGTCCCCTATCAGGAGCCATTCAGGTCCCATATATTGCTTTTAAGTCCAGCAAGGAAGGCAACTTTTGGCCTGTTCGCTGGTTGATTTCTGGACTGATAAGCCCGACTGATGCTGGTCTATTGTGAGAGAAAAACACCATTGACTGGCTGATAAACCCTAGCTGGAAGCGAACAAGCTGTTTATCTGCATCCAATTGCGGTCCATAAACACCTGAAAGGGACCAAGTGGTATTTTGAGCTAGCAGTGTAATATCCACAAAGATGGTTGATGGCGTCATCCTGGTCATGCTTAGATTGAAGTATCATTCAGGATTCCACCAGCCACTCCCGTGGCAGGCAGGTGCACACAATTTTCTACCATGTCAAGCCTAACAGTGTCAATGAGAAGTTGTCTAGTCCAGTTCGAAATTTTTGTTTCTTGAAGACAGACAATTGTTGCTCCAGTGGAGGAAATAAGATTTCTAAC